CAGTGGGGAAAATGTTGAAACGAGTAGCGATTCCGGGAAGGGACTCACTCAATTGCGCGCAAAAACGGAACAGCCGGTGGATGTCTGCGAGGCTCCACCGCTTTTCGAAATCTGACGAGTTGGGAGCACCAAAGTAGATATGTAGTCTGAGGTGTATCATGAACATAAGGGAAGATGTAGATTTGGAGAAACTCTACAAAAAAGAAAATCATGGACGTCCGAAAGGTTGTTACCATATTATGGCGCACCCTGTATTCATACTCTGTCGCCCCTATTTCTTCCAGATGGTCATAAGCACACTGAAAGACATACTCAGCTAGTTTTAATATTTAGTGGTGCTGCCGCAAGTTGGAAAAGATAAGCAAATAAAGAAACCGTCGGGACTAAATGCGTTTTACACTTCGTGGACAAATATTTTTCTTATTTTTGAAGCCTGAAGTAGAACCGCTCGTTTTATTCATGAGACGGCCGACCTGATCGTATGTAATTAGTCTATTGGGCTGGGTATATCTTTATATGTAGCTGAATATGTTTTCGTTGGTGTAGACATACATGTTCGAATGTACGCACACATACAAGAAAACATGTACATATTTGTATGTATGTGAATGTATCCGTCTGGACGCGAGTTGCAGGAAGGGGTGACTCTTTTGAAAGGTAATAAAAAGCGTTAGAGGGTAAACAGCCTCCAACGCTCCAGAGGCGAGCCTAGAATTATTTGCACTATTATGGCACCCAATGACAAGTCCAACATCATACACGGTGCGCCATTACTTGCTCACAGTTGCAAAGTTTGACCTATTAAGTTAATGCAGCGATGATCCATCGATTAGCCGCGAACATGTTAGGCACTTCTTCCTTTATCAAAAACACAATCTTCGATCCTCAGCTCTTACTCTTCTCAAAATGGTTCGACCTCATCCTCTCAGACCCGCGATTATTCAGTTACACCAAATGGGTCGCTTCCCAAAACCAACGCAGAAACTCTATCAATCAGCAGAAGAACTAGGGACTTCACCATCAAACGAGAAGGAGCTCGGTACTGCAGAAGATCACTAAGGAAGGGGAAGGAAAACAACTGTTACTTCCACGAGAAAGGTTAAAGTTCTGCTCAACAGCTGAAGAAGCTAACGATAGGGGAAGAATTCATGGATGCTCTGGACATGCAGAAAAAATGATGGTTTGGGCAGCGATTACCTACCAGGCAAAGTCCCGCTGGTTTTCATCCACAACGATGTTAAACTCAACACGGAAGTCTACTTGGATAGCGTGCCGGAAAACATCTCGCTTCCGTGGACAAAATCACCCTTTCAGCAATTATCAATGCTCGGGAATGGCCATCCACTAGCCTTGATCTGACTCATTGAATGGATTATTCCGCATGGTCGCTATTCTAGAGCAAGGACTGCTCTAAGCAACACCACTCAATTTTCAAAATTTTCTCAGAGCATGGGAGAAATACCTCTGAAGTACCTTCGCGCCATTATCGACGACCTCCCTTATGTCTGAGGGTCTGTGTCCAAGGCCATGGAAGGATTTTCGAGATCTGAATTGACTATGTGTAATGTCTTAATGTAGTAGTTCTCAATATATCGTTTAACCGATTTCATAGTGGTGCATATTTTAGCAAGTAATTCTGGTGCACCCTGTAGGATGTGTATAGTGATGGTTGTGGTGGTCAATGTGGAAAGGTTGCGTAAGACTGTGATCCCTGAAATCAGCACCATTTGTGACACATTTTGGGAAATTAAGGTTCACATTCATAGAAATCCTGGTAATCAAGCTTTGTTCAGGCATAATCTCTGTTCATCAGTGGTGCGAGAGCGTCCAGAAAGTAACTGGTCTGCATCTCCCGTGGCGAGCTCTGGTACCGAAACTGGCGACGATTCATGAGGACGGTAAACATGTTCTGTACAAAGACAATGTCGCCGTTGTGCAGGTCGGAAAAAGTCTACCACAGGTATTTGTTCACTGTTTATAATCCGTTTATATAGTTTGTAATTATTACCATCAGTTATACTGTCATTACTCGCTCATTGACCTCATCCCTTTAGCGTTGACAATATGCCGCTCCAAAGTAAGCTGTTCTTGACTGTTGTCTTGGTTTCTTTCCATCGACGTCCTATCTTCCTTCTGTGTTTTTTATCGGGCCCTTTTTGACCTTCACAGCTCGAGTCTATACCATCACGAGCGTTGTTCTTGAAACTTCGGTAGGACGATTGTACTGCTTGCCCTCGTATCTGGGTATTACAGCTCATAAACTAGAACCTAACCTCGTGCTCTTAAACGCTCTACGTGCACTATTGCTCAACGGGATTAGATTTTGTGTCCGGGGTGCTATGCACCTTCGAGGCATGAATAGAACTCTTTCATTTCGTTCTTTCAGCGGACAGCTAGCCCCGCAAACAGCACTGCTATCGAATGCCCCTGTTTGATCTTAATCTTCACAGCCATGATTCGATCGCTAATTTTAAAGGCCCTACTCCGTAGGGAAGAATCCCCATGGGCGTCGCTACTGNCCCATGGGCGTCGCTACTGTCGTGGCCGTACCAACACATTTTATAATTTCTCCATTTTAGTTGGGCTCCGCATCTTCTCCATTTCCCTACCCTGATCTCGTTCCCAGTGCATACCCTGGAGGTGTATCCCAAATTCCTGCCTTTTCCTAGATCAGCGAAATTTTTATTGAAGTCGATTAGCTCTTGGCAATCCTTTCACGTTGGCCTGGCTTCTCGATCTTGATGACACTCACCCATTCTTATGAGACCCTTGAACATGATTGCTATGACTGAACTTTGTCATTTCGTTCATGACACTGATATCGGCCCAATTTCCGCACTTTTTGCTACTCAGGTTTTTTGCCTCCCTTCCTTAGTGCCAGGGTTCACGACCCTCCTCTAACCATATCTCTTTTCACTCATTCACCACTCATTAATTCTATTGCAATGCTTTTGTTGGTTTTTATCTATTGTTCTAAACTTTTGCTGAAGTGTCTGATATCACTTTAGAATGTCAGTGTACCTATCACGTCTTTCCAAGGCTTTCTGGAGGCCCGTGATCCTATTTCCTTGTCTGATTAGGCTTCGCTAGGGAAAATTCGAGTAATCTGTGATCAATAGAGAAGCGCTTGAACGCCAAACGTGTACGACTAGTAACCTCATATATGTTAGGCAAAAACTGATGACTTATTGGAGCAAGCAAGTTTCCAACTTAATACTATTTTAAGGATCGTGACGTTGTCGAGTCGCTGTACAGACACAAGAGCACGTTGGAGACTTTATTCCGATTCATGGACAAAGACAACTCCGGACAAGTTTCGATGCAAGAATTCATTGACGCAATTCAGGTAGAGATGTCATTTGCATCACAGCTTTCCTCGACTAGGCTTTCCCTCCAACCTCATTAAATCTCGGGGTACTCGGTTGACCAGCCATTTCTTTTTCGGAACTACTGATGCATATCTGACCACAAAATTTCGAAGGAATCACGCAAAAAGTTGCCTGGAATCACGCAAGCACAACAAATTCGAAAGAAGGAGGACTTGTTGTATACAGAACAGTACCCAGCTATGTAATGTGGTGAGGCCTGAATCACGATGTCTTAGGGTTTCAGTTCTTCCCTTGGTGACTTTACAGGAGCAGCGACTTTTCCACGACTGAGCTACTAAACCGATAGGTTAACTGGCGGCTTGCATAATACCTACTAATATTATCAACAGATGATTTCACCATTATCAGAAGTTGTTATCCATGGCTCTTCCTATTTTCATGGCTCCAACCGTCGGCGAATTTTCAAACTACAGGCAGTCGCATAAATTTTAATGCACATGATGTCAAAATAAAAGAGAAAACACCATTTCTCAAAGGCACAGTTCACGATAAAAATTATTTCTCAGATTTCCCCATATGATGAAGTTGAGGTCCCCTTGTATAACATATTCGTGCTATTAGGTCGAAAAACGGCACTATTAGGGAGTTCTAAAGGCTCAAAGATTGTACCACGTGTATCCTCGGACGAGTTTCACCGACACTGTAGAGGCTGCACCGACCTCAAGAGAACCCATGTACAAAGTTCCAATAAGTTGTGACCCATAGCGACAGTGACAATGTAGTCAGCACTTTGCGCAACTGCAACAACTGAAATCTCGTCCGAATTTTTTCAAGGCTTATTATTACTCCCTATTAATTGTTATCACTTCATGCCACCTAACATCGGTAATTGCGTCCTGCAACATGTGTCCCACTGAATTCGAAAGCTCTGGGTCCACGAGAACCAGAGCGTTCCAATTTGAATGGGGTTATCCAATAACTATCTAATTCATCCCTATATTTGGCCCATTGAGTAATAATTTTCACTGTAAGCGAGAAATAAATGGCATCGAAGGAGCAAAGAACCATATAAAAAAACTTAGGTTTGTTCGTCGCTGGAAGATTCGTTTACTCTTCAAGGTTCGCGGCTCATTGTCAACATTATGCTAGAATTTTCATTTGAAGAAAAAAGAATCATCATTAATTTTGAGGTATTGGGAAAGTACACGAAGCGGACCATGTCACCCGATTACGTTGCTCAAATTGCCGAAAGCATCGATTTCAACAAGGACGGTTTCATCGATCTCAACGAGCTGCTAGAGGCGTTCCGGATAGTGGACCAACAAAATGGGCTAACCTAGCTGGAAACTGATCTGAATTCTTCTCTTGCATCTCACTGGTATTGGTTTCGGTAAAATTGTTAATTCATAAGGACTGCATGTCTGAAGATATGTTCAATGTTTCGAAGGGAAAACTCGCTCTCACCCTCCAGCTCGTTTACAGTCCCAGACACTTTTATCGTCTGCATTCCATAACTCCTTTCCGCCTATGATGTTTCATTCCATTGAAATTATTGAATGATATCATACAGCTTTATGTTAATTTCAGTTCAATCTAGCGAATGCCTTCATGATTGTTCCCTCTTGCCTGTATGTTTACCTCTATAATCTATGACAAAAGAGATATAAAGCCTCAATATCGTCAGAAATGAACAGACCTGTAATACGACTAATTCCAGAGTACACTATGAGAAGAACTGGACAAGGTGTAAAGCTTGTTATTCGGCAGAATAATCTTAATGTAATGGGAGTGGACTAGATAGAACAAAACAAAGCGTAATAGAATATACAATGCACCAATGTAGAGATCATGAGGGAAAAGAAAGAAAACTGGAGGGAAAGTAGGTTCAAAAAATGCGAGGCTGAAACTATTATAAAATTAGGCTGAAGAGGGCAGGCTCAACAAGTGATTGGTATGAGGGTCAGTACGATTACTGATGCCACAACTACATATAAGGATATCAGGAAAGTTTTGAGAAAATTCAGTCAGTTTTTTCACCATTAAATAACTACAAAAATAGAGTAAGATCAGTGATCAAGTAGTGGTGCTTCTTGATCACAATGCCTCTCCATCAACCGGGCATAGCACTGATGCCATTACTCCCCGAAAAAAAGGGGCGTGACGCAATCAATTCGTCTACTACCCACTTGACTTCCTGACGACTGCTTAATTTTTCTCCTTTAAAGCAGGCTTGTGGGCCTCTGAAAGCATGACAGTCATGTGGGATTAGGTCAGATGAATATGTTAAGTGTGGGGTAGCCAGGTTTCACCAACCTCCCCAGCCCATCCATCGACGTCCTCACGTGGGGTGGTCGAGCATTATACATCACAATCAAAAGTATTCCTGTACTCGGGGTGAAATAGGGGCTCACAACACCATCTTTCTCAACTCGCACCAGAGTACCGTTGCTTCACCGCAGTACACTCTGGTAGGATCCCACATTAATACACCCGTTGAGCAGAGGAAGAATAAGGTCATATCCTTTCTAGCATGAGCGCCTCGCCTTGTAGCGAGCTGTGGCCTTACTTCCCTTGGAGGCATCGCGATTTCCTTTGTGGATTTTCATATATCTACTCTCTATCTTGGGCAATAATTGAGCCAATTGATGTCGAGGCTCGCCTTAAGTTGAATAGCTTTCGACACACTGACTCGCCCTCGACGCTCCTGCTCAGTCAAGATATTTCCAAAGATTACTGCGTCATGACTTTCGGACAGAGCGTCTTGAAATGGGTTAGAAAGTGGAAATTGTCATTTCCATTCCTGACACTTGAGGAGGACTTCTACAACGATCGGCTAGAACAGTGTCGGTGTTCGAGGACATTGGACATTCTCCTCGTCGAACTTCGTCAAAGCTAATCCTTCACAGAGGAAGCGATCGTGCAATTTATGGTAGGTGACAAGAGAAGGTGCAATGCTGATGCATCATATCCTGATGGCAAAGTAGAAAAGATAGACGCGAGCAAAAAGTTTGAACTTCCTTGGATCGGATCGACCAGCGCTTACCAGCCTTATGGGCCTATTTGCTCCGCACTTCCCTGTTTTTAATGGAAAGTTGGGATTGTAAGGCGCTCTCTTTATGTACAGAGTGTGCCATAATGCGATATGGTAAGATAGTCATTGTCGTGCAGAAACTGCAATTTATATTGATACATAGTGAATTTTGCCGGCTGAGTAACATGCAACGTATCAATAACAAGAACGCATGGTCATCTGATACAATCGTCTCTTGTACTAATTATACTAATTATAGGTCAAAGATGTTTCGTTACTCATCTATGGTGGCATGAAGATTTTCAGGAGAAATTCCAAGCCTAGGTTTTTCTAGCGAATTCGTAGAAGTGTTTTGTGGTGTGTTTTGAAGAGCAGGCTTCTCACATCAGTTTGTACTATACTCACCAACCCACTGAACTGAAGTCCTGGAAATTCGTTGGCTAGTTGGAACCATGGATGAAATCGCGAACACTTGCTCAGCACCAGCCTTGTTCTTCTAACATCCGTGAGCAAGTGCGCCGTAGTTTCCGAATCGTACCCCTGGAATAATCTTTCACTTCGAACCAAACCTTTTAGGAAATGGTCCTCGTTGAGATGTTCTGTGACTTTTATTGTTTTCTCTACAAAATTAAGCAATGGCACAGGTCGTAGTGGGAATCATACGTATACTCCGAAACCTGAACATTTCCTCCGAGCTGTACACTCTTTTGTGAGAAGAAAGGGTGTCGAAGGGCGCGCCGCTCGATAGTAGGAAATGGCATTTCTTATTTTTTCTCCTCAAACTTCTCTCCAGGAAGATTACAAAGCTTTCGAAACCTATCTGGATGCAGTTTTATTCACTCTGTGAAGACTATTCTCATCGATGTAAAGATTACATTAAACTCAGCAATCATTTTTCTCGCGTTTTTAGAGTTAATTGTTTTGGAGTTTGGAGTAGCGTAATGATTCCCATGTATTTGTATTCGGAAAAGACGTCGTAAATGAGACAAAATGACCGTCGAGCTGCTTGACATGCAAGGGAAGTCGAAACGACGAGAGATCTCTGAGAAGGACTCGCCAAACGGCACAAACACGGGAAGGTTGCTGTACATCATGAGGCTTCAACATTTTTCGAAAAATTGGTTACTTAAGAGCAGATATGTGAGGTAATTTATGTCATAAACGTAATAGAAAGTGCAGATTTGGAAAAGTCCAAACAAGGAAATCGCGGACTTCTGCAAAGTTGTTGCTATATTTATGTTTTAATCAGTTGGATCGCCGTGCTTTTCCGAACACGAAATTTGACATAAGAATAATAGGGCAGTGAAACTGGTATTCATTAGTATGCAATTGGTATTCGATGCTAATCTGATGCATTTCTTCTTGAAACTTATCACCAATCAAAGATTTAGCTGTTAGGAAACCAAATTCTGAAAGTTCACAGAAATGTCGCCTAGCGATAACAACGCCATCATCAGATGTCTTTATCGATGGGACTTCTCTCTAGTGATCCCAGCCGCTGAGATTCCCAGAATATCCGCGGTAGGATGAGATCTGACGCAAATGACATCGAAACAAGGGCAAGCAGCAATTCTTCAATGAGTCACAAACCTTGCTGAGTAGAAGATAATCTAATACCACGAGATGAAAATTTTTCATCTCCTCATAATTTAGTATTTCCGATCAGTCCCTATCATTAGACTTAGCCGTCTCATCAAATGAAACATATAGAAGAGTCAAAGCTAGACCGTGAATACTAAAGACATCAGGATTTCATCGGTAAGTGTAATTTGCTCCCTATGAGCCTCGGAGGCCCTTCTCAGTTGTTATCACTTCCTGCCACAGAATTCCTATGACCCATCACATCCTACATAATCTGTTGAAATGTCAAGGTTCCACTGTCAACACGAAGGGGTTACAGACCTAGTGGCTCTGGCTTTCTAGCATTTTTTGTCAGCTTTTTTCTCTGCATCCTGCGGTTCTTGCCTTTTAAGGCTTTTAAACACCTCCTATCAATTGTTCACGCTTACTATCACCTACCATCAGGGTTCCCATCCTGTACCTCTTCCTAATTTAACGCTCTAGGACCAGGTCACAGGAGTTACTAATTTCCGCTCGAGCACACACCAACGAATACTTACCAATTCTACAGACACACTTAACGAGTTATACTGAGTATCCTAAAATTATGGGCGCCGAAATTCACAAAATAGCAAGTTAGAAATAACTTACTTCATTCATTATCGCTTAGTTGCTTAAGCAGCTTTTCTTGCAAGCTGTATGGTCACACATATAAGAATTCTTGTATCTTCTAGATGTTGAAGTCTCATTCAATGCTGCTTGCAAGCATTCGTATGCAAGAGGTGTAATTTCATAGTCAAATTTTTTTGATTTCTATGATGACCATACAGGAGGCCATCAAACGATACAGGTAAGCAGAGTCGATCAAAGATAACTGAGTGTAATAGAGCGTGCTTTCAGAAAAAGGACTATCAAAATAGTCCGTTTGTGAGTACCGTTGTGATCCTGGCTGTCTCGTCCAGTTCACGGCAAAGGAGCATGGCTTATCGAAGTTGTTCATGGAGCAGATTGTCGAGCAGAAGCATTATTGCCATCCCTATCATATGCGGAAATTCCACTGGATTTCAACAAACAGCATAGTGTGAAAATGCAGAAGGGGGCGAACTACAGTACTCGCCGTAAGAACTCAAAAATTTGCGATAATGGCCGGTATGCATAACGCCCGGGGTAGGGGAGGGAGAGGAAGTGTTTGTTTTC